TTTGCTGCAACCGGCTAAGCTTGACTCACACTGCCATCTGATATACGCAGTAAACTTGCTGCTGCTCAGCATTCTTAGCCTTTTATCTATAGGTTTTAAAATATGGTGGTGATACCTCGCATGTATATAGATTTCGCTCTACTTACACCTTGCATATAGTACAGTCTATGCTCAGAGAAAAAGATGTACAGGAAATCACAGAAGTTTAGAAGCTGTCAAGCAGAATGGCACTCTTAACTGAATTTTACACTGATCTAATACAATTTTAAAAGTGTGTTAAACTTGGTGAAGCTGTTATAATGCTATTAAATTGCTTAAACTGATTGTTAATGCCAAGTCTGGCTCATGGGAAGGAAGAGCCTCTGATTGCAATACAGGATGGAGGTGGAAGGGCTGGAGGTAGCAGCTCTGAAGGAGAGGCCCTGGGAGTGATGGCAGAAACTAGGCACTTGCAGTACAGGAGGCATACCAGTTCTCTAGTCTGTATTGCCAGGCACACAGCAGGAGTTGCAGGGAATTGGCTAGAAATGGCTATCCCCTGTGATAACTCGGCACTCCAGTGCACCCAATTTTAGGTTGCTGGCACAGGGAAGTTAATGATCTATTGGAGGAATTTCAGCAGAGGCTGCCACAATGATGGAGAGGAGACTGGAACGCTTTCCGTGGCAGGAGAGACTAAGGAAATTGAGCTTCTTCCACCTGGAGAAGATGTGCCTTGCTAGTATGTGTAAGGAGGTTATAGGGAAGATGAAGTTGGGCTCTTTGCAGTAACTAAATTGAAAAAGGAGTGGTTCAGATTCAATACAAGGAAAAGCTTTTATACCATGAGCAGGTTGCCAAAGAGGCTTTGTGGTCTCTGCTGAGTATCCTGGCTGACCTCACAGTCTGTGCCTACTTTGTGGAGAAGTTTGCACTGGAAATGTCCTGAAGCCCTGCCAGCCTGAATTATTTGTGTTCCCATGGTTCTGTGGTCCAGTTAATCTCTAGCTGAAACGAACAGCAGTTTGCTGGCAAAAGAACAACTTCTTCCTCTTAGAACTAAAGACTTGCTCCTGATGATAACCTCCAGTGTTCAATCTCACGTCTTATTTTCTGTTGCAGTAGACAAGTGGAATGTATGGTGGACATGTTTTATCTTAGGTTAGAAGGAGTAATAGGTTAGGTGAAAGTAACATTTTCAAGTAGATTTTTAACCATGGAACATTTTGACTTGCATTTAAACCTTCTTAGGTATGTTTCAGAATTTTAGGTCATTATTTTTAAGCCATTTTATATTAAATGTTTGTTGTGTTTCTAGAAGCTTGCCCTCAATTTGGGTTGATTTTGTTGTAAAACCAAGCGGTTCTTCTTCGTGTCAAGCTCGAGTCAGCACATTAATTATAAACAAAGACACCTACAGAGATTAGGTGGCATGGAAAAGTGTCTTCTGAAGTTTACCAAGAACACTGTTTTCTAATGGTGTATCGCATAACTTAAATAGAAGAAGAAAAAAAACTGTTCACATTTTATTTTATTTAAGTAGAGCAGTGGAAAAGCAAATGTATTTAAGTTGAGCAAACGAAAAATGTATGAGGATCCCGAGCTTTGGACTAGATGATCTTCAAAGGTCCTTTCCAACCCCTATGATTCTGTGATTAGAGATTCTTCAGAGTTTACACACTGACTACAGAGGATACATTGATGATTTGAGTCACTTCAGTCTTAGTTAATGTCAGATAGGAAGAGGGGAGGGCATGTCTGTACCACTGTCAGGGAGAGTGTCACCAGATGACTCTAGGGTACAGGATCAAAGTAAATATTTACAGTTGACTATTAGGAAGCCCATGTATAATAAATAGTCCTAGAACCTTAAAAGTTCACTAGATATCTCTACTCTTGCTCTTAAAGATTTTTCTTTTAAGTGATTGTTTCTTGTAGACCAGATAAAGAACTGTAAAACAGTACTTCAGCTTTGCCCAAGAACTGAAGGGGGTTATGTCGTTTTCAAGATCTGACTGTATTGGTCTTTGTAGTCATACCTAAGACTATGTATGTATACATATATATAATTTTTTTCAGCTGAACAGCTTCAGAGAGAAAACAATTCATTTTTCTCTTGGAATGATGAGGCCTGTGTATGTCATTGTCATCATTTTCCATTAAAATGTTTGTTCACTTTGAGCCTTCTTCAGCTCTCTTCCTTAGCACTGAAGGTATGCTCAACTTTAGTGCCACTTCATGATTTTCTGTAGGTACCTTCCATTTTACTCTTCTCGACGAGAATAACTCCTCCTTGGATGGTAAATAAAGTTTCAGATGCACTGCAAACACAAGACAGAAAGATGAAGAAAGCTTTAAAAGTTCTGAAATGTCTTTACCAACTTTCTTCTAATAGACATTAGGAGCTGATCTGTGCGAGAACAAACAAATTAAAAAAAAACCCTGCTTTGAAGGCAACTATCTAAAGGTTCAGTTGCAGAATACTTTGTGTTGCTATCAAGTGTATTGTTTAAGTTTTCTCACTCTGCTGTTCAGTGTTCACTTTTTTTATTACTATTACAAGAGATTTGTAAAATTATCATGGTGATAAATTACGCTGTAGTAAGAGGTGGAACTATGCAGTGTCTAGAGTGTCTGGCTGCTATTTGTCCTGCTTTTGGAGCGTCTCAGATTTTCACGAGTAAGATAAAAAATGAAACTCTGCATAACTTATTTTTTTACATGTTTGGGCTCGGAATATTTTAAAAGCTGCATCTAAGATCTTATTTCAGCTGCAGGCTCTTGGATCAACACAGTCTAGCCTTATGTAGCATGAGTACAATAAACACAATTTTATTTCTTAAAGTTTCTCTTTAAGGGAGCTATTATGTTACTTCAGCATAGGTATCTAAAAAGCAATTTTAAACTCTCTTTGATATCATTGCTGTCTTTGTGCTGCCACTTCAAATTGGCATTCGTTGTCCTGTGTTTTGTACCATGCATGTTGTGAGATGTTTTGGATATGTCAGTCTAAAACAGCCCTGGATGCCTGTATTTAAAAGTCTGAATTGCTTTCTGATGGACTGTTAATTGTCATTAGTTTTCAGATAGCTATAATACTGGATTACTTTGTGCTTTTTGATATCTTTTAAGAAGGAGAGGAAGTAAATAGTCAAATGAGAACTTTGGACCTCTAAAATATTACAAGCAGTGCATGTACTGACATAAACAAATGAAGAATCAACAATGGAGGAAAAAAAAAAACAACACCCATAATCCCCCCCCAAAAAACATTGGCACACCTGGATATTTTAAGGAATATTAGTGCTTGAATTTTGAGATACAAATATAGCCAACAATAGTCATTTATTGTAGAAAGCAATTATAGATATTTTTTTGCTTGAAACATAAACCTTTTCACATGATTACCTATATTTTTCTTTATTTACTTGCTTTATTTAATAATGCTTTACATTTACACAGGATTTTTAAGCTTTATTTATAGTCAGTGTGGCAGATATTATAAAAACTCTGAACTGAGTTTAGAGAACTGGTATGAGTTGCACTTGTAGATCTGTTAGGTGAGACTGTCAGGCTTTGTTTTTGCTGAAACTGTTCCTACAGTGCATGCCAAAACAGGGATGGTGAATGGGACCCTACAAGCCAAATGGATTTATGGTGGACGGAACTCAATTTGAAGAATTGGTTATGAGATCATGCTATTTTATCACTGTTGTGGGAAGAAGAGAAATGAGCTACAGGAAGTCACAATTTAAACAAACAAACAAAAAAATTCTATAGTAGTGTTGCATTTGGATAGAACCAGGTTGCCATGAGGATACAGGCAGGCTTTGTTTTGAGGTAGGTTGTTCGAGAAGGGGTTTCTTCTGAAGAGCAGGTGAGGTGATTTGTTCTTAGGTAGCTTTATGAAATACTAGCTAAGTCTGAGGTTTCATTAATTTCCCTACACATACTATCTTAATACATTTGGTTTTGCAGCTGATGGATAATACTGCAAGTAGAAAAATGCTGAATCTTTTGAGAAGTTATTAAAATGTCTGTGTTTTTTGCATGCTGCATTTCTAAGACTATGTCCTTTCTGGGAAGTTAGAGTAGGAGTTCTGCATGTCCTTCTCAGAAGGCATATTTCAGCCTTGGAGCTCCCAAGATAGCATTTTGGAGGGTGTGTTCGTCCATATAGTATATTAGCAACCGCTGTGAACATTGCTTTTTTACTCTATGTGGGTCACTTCCTAGTGTCTGCTTTTAATTCTTCCTCTGTGTTAGCATATTACAGATTGTTTAAAACTTTCAAAGGAGGTTTTTTTTCCCCTTTGGTTTTATCATGTTTAATGTAATATTGGACAATTTCAGATTAGAACAACTATAAAAGACAGATTTCAACTGCAAAAATCCCTCAAAAATATATCGTAAGACTTTCTTGTTTTTAGATACTGCCTTCCTCTAGACAAAATAGTGCTGTATTGCTTGAAAGAGGAATATTTTCAAATCTTGTGTAAATCTTGTGTAAATATGCAAATAAATTATATTTGCTGTTAGTCTCCATTAAGGTTAACATAATGGAAGGCAGTTTTCCCAGACTGTGATTTGCCAATCTGTTGCATTTAGTAAATTTCTGTTTCATAAAATGCTTTTCCCCAGGACCCTTGTAAAAGCTGTAGTAATATGGGTATCAGTAGCAGAATGTACTGGTAAGCAAGGAAGAAGCATACCTAGAGGAAAAAAAGGTGAAAGAAGGTGAACAAAGAATGAGTAATTTTGTTAGGATTGTTCTTACGGCTGTATGAAAGACATCAGTGCATAGTACAGTAGGAGAGGAATTTGTGAAGGGTATAAGTAGAAGGTATGGAATTAAAAATACTTAATATTCTGTCAACTTACGTAAACTAGTCTTGTTGAACTAATCTTTTCTTTTAAATACTAAGGGAAGTTGCTAAGGGGTGGGGGAAATGTCAAGTGAAATGGCTGTAACTGTATTATGTAACAGAGTTAATTTCGACCTACGCTCTGCTTCTCTGCAGAAGAAGTTGAAGAAGAGTCTGAAACTACAATTGAGGTTGACTTGACTGATAAACAGAAACATCAGCTGAAACACAGAGAGCTCTTCCTTTCTCGCCAGTATGAATCTCTTCCGGCAACTCACATCAGGTAAGAATTAAATATTGCTTATCTGTATTCTGTTGAGCTGGTTTGCCTGCCAGTAGCCCAGCCATTTGAACACTTCAGCCTTTATCTTACAAAAGGGAGTGATTGTGTACAGCTGAGTTGTGCCAGGTAGAGCCATGAATTGATTTGGTACCACCCTCACTATTGCCTTTTGTCTCTTCGCATTTGAGCCTTGAAAGGGACAGAGTCATAGATAGAGCTCCAGCTTACAAATTGAAACATCAGGTGATCATGTTGTATGAAGTCAGACTATTCCTACCTTGGAGGTGTATTCTTGATTCTTCTGCTGTCCAAAGGAAACATGGCCATTTTGTTTGCCCAGGGAAACCACAGATGGGTTTAGAAAGGAACTGTCTGACTCAGTGGTCAGATCTGCACACACTTAAAAATAAAATTACCTCAGCTTACTTTAGTAAATGGGAAGAAGTAATGATTGAGTTTGGCTAAATGTTGCAGAAGCACTTCAAGTATTTTTTAGATTACCGCGGTGCTATTGTAAGAAGCTTAAAAAAAAAAAAAAAAGTTTTGAATGTCTTTCTGTAAATATTATAAGTGCTAAAGTTACTTTTTATTTCGGAGTCGAACAGTTTTTTGGGGGGAGAGGGCGGAGTGGAAGAGGGGAATGTATCTGGAAATAGAAGAGAGTAATCGGGAGCATAATGGAAGAGGAGTGTGGTAAGTGTAAAACAGGAATTCATACAAGTTTGCATTCTGAAGGAATTTTTAGTTTCTCAGTACATCCACCTCCCCTCAGCCATTTCAAACCGTTTTCTTCAGCTAGAAGAAAAAAAAAAAAAAAAAAGTAGTTATGCTTCAGTAAGAGAGAATATTTGTATGTCCGTATGTACTTTCTCAAATGAGGCTCCTTATCTTTCTTGCTGCCAAAATAAAAACTGGAAGTTGGGTGTGTTTTATTAATTTCCTGTGCTTGATTCATTCACTTGTTCTCTGACTTGGAGAAAGTCACTTAGATGTCAAATCTCTGCTTTCCTGAATACAGCATAGAGATAGTAGTCCTGCACAGTTTCTTTCGCTTACTTTGACATTTAAATATTGAAATAAGGTATTCTCTATCCAGAGAGAAGATTATAGAGAAGCAGTATTGTAAATGTCTTCTTACCTCACAACTCAGGGAGGAAGAAGAGATTCTTCAGTACACACTTCACAATGAGTCCATAAAAGCACATGAATTCATGGTGCATGCAGCATTGCACAGTAGGCAAATACAGTGGCATGACTTGAATAACTTTTCAGAACATTTAAATGCTGTAGTGCTATACTGTCATTTGCTAATAAGACCTTTACCAGATGCATTCTGGAACAAGTTGTATGTTGTTTAATGAATTTTTAACAAATACCTCTCCTACAAAATAGTTCTTATAGAGCATGTTAACTTCTGAACATTCACAAACTCAACTCTTCTTGATTGTTTATGTAAATTTTATTTGTGATCTTTTCCTATAGAGTGAGGATTGAAATACTGTGAAGGCAGTGCTCTTTCTCTTGCACCTTTTTCCCAATAGTATTTCAGAAAAAGGTTTTAGAGCCGTGGAATAATATGCTTTTGAAGAGACATCTCTAAGGTCATCTAGTCTGGACTCCTGCTGAAAGCAGGATCAGGTTGTTTGTGGCTTTGTCTGGTTGAGTTTTGAATGTACCTAAGGATGAAGATTGCAAAGTCTCTCTGAATGTCTGTTTCAGTCTTTCCTGATGTCTAATTGGGACCACCACTTTTGGAACTTCCTGTCCATTGCTTCTTGTTCTGTCACTTTGCTTCCCTGAAAATAGCCTATCTCTCTTATTTACTTCTTCATTAGGCAGTTGAAGACAGTAGTAGGATCTGTTTCTTTAAGAGTGTGTGAATGATTACTCTTAAGATGTGAAACTGCTGGCCTTTGTATTAGCACCTGGGAGGAGCCACCAGTAATCAGCTGCTGGTTGGACTTTGAACCACTCATTACAACCTTTTTAGCCTGATGGGCCAGCTAGTTCTTCTTCCAACCTTATTGTCTGCTTATCTACCCTGTATGTTACTGGTCTGGTTAAAAGCCAATATAGGACATGCTGTAGGCTTTGCTGAAGTCACAGCAAAGGATATTTGTTGCTGTCAGTAGTCCACCAAACCAATATTCTCCATATGGAAAGACACACGCACTAAAAGTCTCAGTAGCTCTATCCTGTGGACTTTGGTTAGTTGTCACAATCTATGGTTTTACAAGAGAATAAATAGTTCAATAGAATAGAATGGAGAAAGGAGATAAATTCTGTCAAGGGTAAGAAGGCAAGTTCAATCACTTCAGAGGGAAGAGGAGAGAGCTAAAAGTGATAGAGGAGGCTGAATTATATGCAGTTGCTCTTGGTAACTACAGATCTTGAACTTTTACTGGCATCTTCAGCAAAGAAAAAAAAAAACCAACAATTCTCTCTGTGTGTAATTTAAGGCAATAAAATCATTCTAACTTTAACCCGAATGGCAGAGAAGATGACATTGTTTCCCTTCCATCCTTCCCTCTGAAGAAACCCACCCATGACTAATTTATTCTAATTCATAATTAAAAACACAGCAATGTCTCTTTTGTATACTTGGTGATACCACTTTATAATTAATGTGCTTTAAATTTATAGCAGATTGAATTTCTTTGTTGTACAAATAATTCTGAAGTCGTATGATCTGTAAAGCTGTGTTGAATAATTCTGATGTGATTTGTTTGCTTTTAAAAACTTGTAATACAGTTTCAGTCTATATTCCTGTACTTTGTATTTTGTAACGCACATTATGTGTAACTCTCTTTAAATATAATTCATTTTGATATAAACAATTTTTTTCCTAATGTTAATCTTGTTTGTGTTTTATGTTAGGTGACGGTCACTGCCATTTTAGTAACTTTAGGAAGTGGTATACATTGTAGCTCAAAAAAAAAAAAAAAAAAAAAAACCGAAAAAACAAAACCAACAAATTTAGAAAATATGCAAAGACAGATACAAGAATCATAAAATATCTTGAATAAGAAGGGAACCAAAAGGATAATTGATTCCAACTCACGGCTTCACACAGAACGAGACAGATGTGGCAGTGTTGTCTTGTAGCCTCAGTGCTGATGTGGTGGAATGTGTTGAAGAATTATAATTGCACTAACTTCTGAAATGATGGTATGCAGTGAAGGACAGTGTCAAGATGTTCTCATTTGGGTTTATAGGGCTTGTTAGCTTTGCTCCTACCTGACAAATTACAAGTGAAACTACTCCTTCCTCTCCTTCCTCAAATATGTAAGATTAGTAACACTCTTCCAGTGATAAATTACCTCCTTCCTTCCCAATTCTTGCTTATTACAAATGCAGTTTTACCATGCCTTGTAATCTCCAAATTTTACAATGGTGTTATACTGCTGTGGATTCACTGAGCCCTTTCCTTCATTGGGCATGTATACACATCACATAGTGAATGCATGCATAATTCATGGTGCAGATAGTTCATCTAAGCAGTGTCAGGTCCCAGCAAGGGACTGAGTTGAGCCAAAGTGCTGTGTATTTTAGCTTTGATTTGCAGAAATTTAAGAATTACTAAATATAGCATTTTGGAAAGTCATGATAAGGCAGAGGGAAAAAATTATTTAAAAGTTGTCATCACGGTGAGATTGTTGGTTGATGTTATGAAGTGCATCATGCAACTCAGCATGTGGTGAAAAGGATCTATTTGTATAACAATTCCCCAAAAAAATATCTCTTTGGGAAGATGCACTTGTTATCTTGATCTTTGTATTTTCACTTTTGAGGTTTCAAGAGCTAGTAGGCAATTCTTGTAAAAGACTACATTAGTTACTTGGATTATTTGTGCTTGCTTTTGAATTTAATGCTTCATATAATGTGTGTAAAAAACTTATTTAGCCATCAGGGTTCACTTTACCATTTCATTATCTTTGCTTGCTACTAGCTAAGTTTTACTTGTATCTATCAAGCCTGTGTTTCAGGTTTGAGGTTAGTTTTTGGATTTTCTTTTAAGTAAACTTTTACTTGCCTTAACTTTGATGCATAATGAATCACATAACTTTCATTATACTGAACTTTCCTTCCTTATGATCTTGCCAGACCTCACCCTAGTATTACTACTTTAAACTATGCAGGTATAGAATAATGCTTTTTTTTTTCTTTCTCACAATTCCTTTGCGTAAAAAGCACCAAATAGTCAGAAGCTCAAAGACAGGTAGTTGGTAGGGTGGGACAGGTCATTTTACAGTAGCATTGTGACTTTTTAAGGTATGGCATGCTAGGAATTGGTGGTATTATCTTAGGATGTTGTTGTTCTCAGCAAGCAAGAAGCTTTCAACAGACAAATGGGTACAAATACATAAGCTACAAAGTTTAGATAATTTACAAGGACTTTCAATCTTTTTTATTTTCTAATGTAAGTCACACAACTAGATACAATGAGTGAATCTACTTTGAATAGGCATGTGATTGGTCATTTGGATTGCTTAGGAGTTCTTCCTTCCTGGATTAAGTTTATTTAGAGCAGGGTAGCTTTTGCAGCATGTCTGATGCCTGTTAGTTTTGTTGTGTTGTTGTCTAATTTTTTTTTTTCCTTTGGCAGTAGAATTTGGAGAATTCTTACAATGGAAAGATTCTGGTCTAGATTGTACTTTTGTCTTGTTCTCAGTTGTGGTCAATAGCTAATACTAATACCAGAGTATAAGAAAAAAGTATTGGTAGAAGACTGTCAGTTAAACGTAAGAAAATTATAGGTTTTCCCACAGCGGCATAATTGCCAATTGCAATTTTTCTTGTAGTGCAAAGCTTATATAGTTCAGGAGCAATGAGTGTTGTTTCTGGGCTAGGTGACCCTGTAATGTCATGCTGAAAAATTGTTCCTAACCAGCCTCCTATGGCTTTCTTAGATACATGTGTATTGCTGTTACTCTGTTTAAAAAGTAATTTATTTTCCTTTTTAGACTGAATTAATCCCTGAGGAAAAAAGAGTAATGACT